TATCATATACCTGCACGTATCAAAGGTGCATAAAATAATATAGACATGGACTTTTTTGTGTATTTTTTCGAACTTCTATATGGTATAAATATTCATAGACATATAGATATGCACATTATTAATGATTATTATTTTAAATAGAAGGAGGTATATGTGTTTGGCAAGTTAAGCTAATATGTGATAACTAGTAGACAAGTTTAAACCACAGCAGCAGATATAACTTATAACGAGTCTCTTATTAATTTCTTACCTTTAACTAATCGGGTGTGATATAGTGACTATTCCGGCGGATCGCAGCTGGTACCATGTGTTCAAGTCAATGGATGGCTACGTGAATAATAATAATAATAATATGTTATATAGCTATATGGGCACTGAGAAAACAATTAAAAATAAACTAAGAAAACCACTCGGCAAAATCTGCAAGCGTGTGCGATTCTGATCGACGCGATGACCGTGTTTCGTAGTAAGACTTTAATTATGTTTGATTATATTCGTCGACATAACCCGAGCACCATTATGCCACTCGTAAAATGAATATACTTTGCGAACAAATCATTCCCGACGACTCGTCTTGCTGCGCCGCGGCCATGAATAAGTAACAAACTAACCATAATTAATAGCAATACACTACGATGGCATATTGCGCTCGACGTGCGGCGGCCAATCGAGATTCGCGGTATAACAGGTACTACATACCCGAATACCTTGTTTGTTGTACCTATAGGAACGCGGGTCTAGTACGGGCTGCCGATATTTTCGGTATACACCGGGTATGTGATCCATGGTTTCAACTTTCAACCATGGAAGAGTTTTTATATACGGTCCCCACTTCGGTTACACAAACGCCTATTTACAGATATTATCAATGCTGACGGGCACACTTTTGAAACGTAAATGTTATATAATACTACCTGACAACCCCCTCATCCGTTGTCTCAAACGCAAATGGCCGCGTTATTCATTAAATAATATACTTAGTAACTACCTACTCGATATATTTATAACAATTTACCTCGCTCGCCTTAAATCCATAAATTGGATGTACTATGTAGTGTCACTGGGCGCTCTCTGCCTTCACGCTTGTCATGTCGTCAAATTTACTCATTGTATTATCATGATTATTAAATGTATTTTATAACAATAGTAAAAAAAATTTTACATACCTATGATATGGCGCATATACCTAAAAACAGAGGCTTGGACTTTTTCGTGTTTTTTATCGAACTTTCTTCCATACCATCACGCAGCCGCATATAAACGCAACTAAGATAAAATTTCTGTAGGAGGGCTACGGTCCCAAACAAGTTAATTTGCTTCCATTTAAAATGCAATATTATTGTATATAATATTATGAACAAAAAATAAATACAAATAATTATTGTCATTACTCATTATACTAATTGTAGTTATTTTAACGATTCTATATTCGTCAGATTTTCAATTAATATTATGATTTCCTAATACGTAATCATTATTTATATTGCTGGACCTATCCCTCGCTCAGTGTTTATGAATTAAATACACTCGATATAAAACCTGGGTGGGGGGGACATCGCCCCCCCCCTAGCCGCGCCGATGCATGCAGCGATAAACAGCTGAACTGTCGTCCGCAGTAGATAATTACATGTACATTGTACAGCTACGTAGAAGGCACTCTTCGTCACTGATTAGAATACAAATTTCGTTGAGAACCAACACGGCCCACTCTGGTTTATACGTAAACTAAACTTTATATACTTTTGACCGGCGCAAGTGGATTTTAAATTTTAATGCAAAACGAATTATTTTTTGGGAAGTCTCCGGCAATGCTTTTCGAGTAAAAATCTGTTTCACACATAGGGTAATTGAAAACATAAGCTTTTATTGGTCGTTTACGGCGTAGTGGTTACTTATCGGATCAATTAACGTGACCAATTTGATCCTTTTGGAGATTTTTTTATCGCTTAGAAATTTAAATTGTTTTACTAAACAGATTAAAATGTCTCCAAGAACAATTTGATCCTTTTGGAGACATTTTTATCCATTCATTATTATTTTTTCCATATAAACTGCAAAGCTCCTATACCGGGTGGTGACCCATTTAACGTACAAGAGTATTATTTAAAGCATTTAGAGCTTATAAACTACTAATGTTTTTTGTAAACAATGTTTTTCTTCATTTCAATTCGTTAAAAACGAAATTTTTCTAAAATAAAATATTCTTTTATACATTTCTTCGTTAATATATTACTTTTCATTTTTGATTATATAACGATAAAATGCGTTTTTAATTCGCTATGCAAAACAGAATTTTTTTGAAATTTCGATTCATGAAAATCGAATTTTTGGACGAATATTATACTTATGACTTTATGAGTTATAAATTTTAATAGCATTTACAGTTTAAAATTTAGATTTAGTGGACAGTGTGTTACAGCGGATTCATGATTGATTCACATTCATGGTAGGAAGATATCTTGAAATAGTGATTTAGGTACCATAAATTAAATGTTTTATACGAAAATAACCCATACAAATCGAGACGTGAAACTGTGAATGCTCTTATGGTCATAATAATATGATGTGCAGTAGAGTCGAATTATTTGTGAAATATATTCAGTGGTCGAAAAATAATAGCTCGAATATTGGAAATGAGTGTTTGATGCTTTGAGAATTCTCGAGTGGCGAAAATCATTGGATGATAATCAATACAGAGAATTGAATTATTTTTCAATAGGGTTGAATTTCTAGTTTTTATTGTTTTATTTTTGCGCATTTATGCATTTGTGCGTGTTATCAAATCGCGATTACGATATTTTAATTCATTCATTTCTAATCGGTTTCCACTGCTTTCCTTTATTTTACCCCTGAGACTCGATCATGACTCATGACGGAAACCATTTGCATTTTAAGCCATGCGCCTGGCTATATAATATATATCATACATTATTCGACTTCCCCAGTTCCGGCCCTCTCCTCTTCATTCAAAACGTTCGAATCTATTATATACTTACTTCCTCCCAGCGATTATTTCCCAACACAATGAATTTCTTTTACATTTAATTCAAGTTCCATCTCGATCATAACCATCAGCCTTGATATAGATTTAATCTGGTCTTCAGACTTGTTTAATTTAAGTATTGGGCACAAAACATTTTATTATTTTGGTGAATTCGTTATTGTCGTGCTTTGTACGCCTTATGATCGTGATGTTATTCTCAACGAATTGACCATCTAAATTGAAACAATTTAACAATTAGATTTCATAAAAATAAATCGTTTCGACAACTGAGCAGAAATGCTACTATACCTACCTAAGTTAAGTTCAAAACAATTAAATAGGTATAGGTATAGTAGTATTGTATCTGTTATCTAGCGATTTTGGAGTCTTTTAGACAGATTAGTTAAGTGGGTACTGAGTATACGTAGGTACCTACCGCCTCATTATATAATAATATTATGTTAAGGCCTAAGGGGATTGCAAATGGTTAATTATTTCCAACCAAAATTTACCTACCTGCAATCTTATGTCAATCATGCCAACGGATTTGATAATGCCATAAGACTTCCGAAAGCTGATTTGAATTCGTTAATAATAATTACGTCTACTTGAGACCGACTAAGGCCCAGGCCACATTTAAAAACGTATTTTGTTCCTCAACTATAAGAATTTGAAATTTAAATCAATTATCTCAAAACACGGTCAGACAGATTTTAGTTTATAACCTGCTAGGACAGTCGTATGTGCATATTATGATATGCATGATCAGTGGCGCAACCAGGGGAGGTCATACCCCTCCCCCCTCTAAAATCTCGTTCTTTTACTGCCGATATCTTATTTCTGATATAACATATTTACATAAATGGTAAAAAAATGACAACCCCCTCTCCTAGAAATTAATTTCAAGTTTCACCAACGTGCGTTGTCAAAGTAACTTAATATTGAGACTATAAAAATAAAAAAATCTGATTTTTTTGAAAATGACTACATTTTAGTGTTATTACTTACAATAATTTTTATGTATTTTAATTTAGAAGTAATAATTATTAATGTTAGTATTACTACCTAAATATCTAAGTACTAACAGCATTCCACTGTAGACAAACACACCAAATATATTGTAAGATATTTTTAAAAGTCATAGTTTCATGTATTTCTTATAAGATTATGCCGTTAACATTTACTAAATGCTAACCTTTTTCTTTCTTCTAATAATTGTTGATACTATAGTTGTAAAAGCCTAAAAAGGAATAAAATGTTTTCATCTAATTCAAGGTCTATTAATCATAAACCAACATAACAACAAACATCAAAGTAGCAGAAACCCTAAACATTTTTTGAATAGCAATCGAATTATTAAAACAAACATCATTAGAAAATTAGAAAACCTAATTAAATTAAATTCTAACATTTTAATAAATCCATGTTTATCAGAATAATTGAATAAATACAAATTATTAGTTTGCAACTATAAACTTACCTACAAAACTTGTTCATAAACACAACAATATGTAACAAGGTAAAATAAAACTGCCAAAGCCAGACAAGTTCATAAATTCTCAGGTTTAGCATTTAATAGTAGAATAAAATTTAATTTTGGTAAATATACCACTATATATAATAAAACATCTTGATGGGAATCTATTTCTATTGTTCCAAGTATACATTATCTAAATAAATGTAATAAATTATGTTTAATGATACTAGTTTTGCATTAATTGTTTTTACCAATCATTCAAAGTGTGTGTTAGATTTAGACTAAAATCTTATATTTCTTTATTTTTTATCTAAAAATGTAAATTATTTTAAATTATTATTATGGTTTGAATATATCTATTGAAATTTTAATTTTAAACGTAAATTGTAAAACAACCCAACATAATCATTTAAAATATTTTATATTTGTAGATAAAATTCAGCAGTTTATTAAAGACTTTTAAGTATAAGTTATACCTACTACACAACAACATATGAAAAAAAAAACATTTATTTATAAAAAGTTTTGGAATATAAATGAGATATATTAAAACAATTACAGACATTTTAATCCTACATGTACTAATAATATTTTTTTCAAGTTGCTGAAATATGTCCGATTAACTTTTTAAAGGCAGTTTATAGATGATAAAATTATATCTTAAAAATAATATTACATCACAATTTGTGGAAATTTATGCTAACTTATGTACATGATTATGAACAAGTAGATTAATACTTGCTAATAGGTATGATGTATGGAAAGTAGTTTAAGTTTTTAAAATTATACATGCAATACACAGAAAAATAACTTTCAAATAAAGCCCATATACTAAAAAAAAAAACCAACAAAATTGAACCAAAATAAATAATCAATAGATATTGATTGTTTTGTAGATTTACCTGTTCAATTTAACATAAAATCATATTATGTTTTCATTGAAAGTTATTAATTTAAAAGAATTTACATTACAATATTAAATAAAATGTGTGATTGAACTTCAGTTTATGAAATTGGTAATACAATTATTGAATATAACGCAATGATTATTTATTTAGTCATATCAAATCTTCAGTATATAACATTAGTATTACACACTAATATCCTCTTGGACCAGCTGGAGGACCTAAATAATAATTATTGTATTTAGACAAAATATTAAATACTTTTAGTATATAACATTACTTACCTCTCATCATAGGCGGAGGACCACGCATGTTATTAGTTGGCATAGGTGGTGGTCCGCCTCGACCCATACCTGGCATTGGTGGCATACCAGCTAAGAAATAATTAAAATATTATTTAATACATTATTAATTTAATGATGTGTACCAAATAAAGAATACTTCAATATAATGCTTACCCATCATGCCTGGTGGAGGAGCCATCATTGGTGGACCTCTTATTGGTGGTTGAGCAGGAGCACCTCTAGTTGGTGCCATTGCAGCTGGTGAAGGACCTCCAACACCTCTCACTGGTCCTTGTAAACCTGTTGTAATAAATAACATAAAATAATTAAAAATAACTGATGACAGCACTGAAATATTTTGTGAATATCTAAAAAAATAAAAATCTATATACATAAAAACAATTTAATTTTCAAAATAATTAAATAAATAATTTAGATGAAAATTCTAACAAATTTTTTTAATAGTATTATAATAGTTATATATTCATAACTGAAACGCCAATTATTTTATGTTCAATTAAAATAATTTAAAAATTTAATATTACTTTTAATTACCAAAATAAAAATTAGCCTATAGTTCTTAAAAAATATAAAATCTATTTTTGCTGAATCTGAGAACAAATTATATGAATCTAAAATATTACCAGGTGTAGCTGCTGATGGTATGACAGAAGGCATCCCTCGTCCAGCAGCACGGCTAGATCCTGGACCACCACCACCACCGGGTAATGGCACTCTTGGAAGACCTTCCTCTGGTGGAGGAGGTCCTTCTATAGTTATAGATACTATATTTTGTCCACGTAATAATACAAAACCGAGTACACGCTTTTCTTCTCTTGGTTCAGCAGGTATTGTAGGTACTTTTGCTTTACTTTTCAGTCTACGAAATTCTTCACAGTCGGCCAAAATTAAATTCATATGTTTATCAAAGGCTATGAAACACAAAAATGTTAGCAAAATGATTAAATGTCAACTATTAATTAATAAGTCTGATAATATACCTTTAAATGTGCCAATGAACATTCTGGAATCTTGTAAGATGACGCGCACTCTGTAGTTGATGTGCTGCATCATCTTGTTATTCTTTGTGACAGGCTGTAAGCAATAAAATTTATGAAACAAGACACATAGTATAAAATAAACCCGTTAAAATATTAATAAATAGAACAAGCAACAATTGAATTAATGTGTGTGTGGCTAGTATAGAACAATGAGTCTGTCCAATAACTTGAATCGATGTAACTGTGTCGAGCCGATAAGAGTTATAAAATGTACACGGTTCAATCAACCTAGTACGACCAACTCCCGATAACACATAAACCATCGTAATTCAAATATTTTTCTTGCCTTTGAACTGTTTTTAAGTGGTTTACAACATTACAAAGTTTAATTTATTTTTATTTGACTGGGTAATCAAACTATGGATACACGGCTATATTCGATTTAGAGTCTACGAGCGAGGTAGCAGCACACGGGAACAGCTTTCCGAGAAGTCCGTTCGTCAAAAAAGACGTCGAAACAACTCATGACAGACACGAAATTAGCAAAAATTATATCATTGTTGAAATGTATACAATGGAAACCTTATACGGGGTTCAGAATTTCTCACACACGAGTCGTAGGTATTACCGATAATACACACAACGGCAAGTCGTCGGAAATAGAAAATTGTAAACACAATCGTTTTACGAATAAAATACTCACCATTTTTGCGGTTTGTGTGTCACTTGAGTAGAGGGTCCAAATTCGAAGCAACGAATGGGCTTGAATGGGAGTTAAAACGTTAGAAAACGTATAACTTTCAGATGACGGTAGAATACACGGTCCGGCACCTTAGTAGTATTTACCTAACCAGTAAACAAACGGTGAAACGCCGTCAGTCGTGAATTACGGACATGAAGTGAGGCACGTCGGTGTTCGGCGCGCGCTGAGTTACGGAAACGGATCGACATTGGACAGTGTTACCAACGCGAGCCCACGATCGACGACAATTTCATGAACAGATTAAATTTCAGCAGCTGCAGCTGTTTTGATAACATTATTCAAATAATAATAATAATATTATATTTCATTGTTAACTAATTTTAATTAGTAAGTTTAAAGTTACAGTAGTACTTTAATTTAGTAATCGGTCAGAATAATTATTTACGCTATTTTTAACATACTTAATGTCTTTTTGACATACTGTTTATTACTAGATACCTGATAAAATTATTTTCTTCTTCTTCTGCTTGCTGGCATCAAGAATTTTTAATTAGATAATATTATCTAATTAGTAACATTTAAATATAATGATTATTTTGGTTTATGGGGGTAGTATACATTAAAAGACACTTACATTTAAATATTTTAAACTAGGACGATTTTAGTCTCTAAACTTTAAGAAGTTGTAACTTTGTGAGTTGGTGTATTCTTAAATTAATTATCGGGTACGAGCCGGTTGAAAGATAAATGAAAGTCAAGTGCTTTGTCGCTCTGTTATATTTTATTAACTAATGTTCTCACGCCTTTTAAACACTTGTCTTTCTCTGTAAAAAAAAATGTCTATTACAACATAAACGTTGTGTTTAATTTTCATCAAAACACATATCATCAACATCAATATTTGGCATTAGTAATAAAATATGTAACACATTTTCATAGAGTGTATAAAAACTTAAGGAAAATAATAAATATATCAATATAAACCTTCGTCCTTCAATTATTGTTCAATTGTGAACCATTTCATACTAAAGTCAAAAATACATAAATAAAAAATGTACATGGTTTTTAGTGGAATGAATCGTCTGATCTATATTATAAAGCATATTATATTAATTTTAGGCAAACCTGGATATAATTTACATTATATAAAGGTGTAGTTTTTTCTTTTTGAGTACATGTTATATAGAACCTTAAATATTTTCTATAAATAGTTATCAATCCATGCATAACAATATAAAAATAACATAAAATATAATGAACCAGACCAAGCTAGACGAATTATTGAACACCCGTGGCCTAATATAATAAATAATAAAATTATAACTACAACTCGACTTCTCATAAAATTTATTGAGTGCATTTCTGCTACAAAAGAATCAACTCCAATATAAAATGCTAATTTTTGAGATCTTGTTCATATATTATCATAGTCCTAAATTTTTAATGTTTATCACTCATTGTTCAACAAATTACTAAAATAATTTTTTTGAAATACTATATTTAAGCTTTACTTTATTTTAATGTATTTAATAATACACAAGTTTTTTTTCAACTAATAAATGGTCGGTGATTTAAATTATTAAAGTCAAAAGATTCAATGCGAAAAATTTTTTTAGTATGAATGGATACCCAATTAAGAAAAATAGAAATTATTTATGCAACTATAAAGTATTTTAAACCAAAACTGTATTATTGAAAAAAACGAAAAATTACAACGAATTGAGTAATTATTTATTCTTTATACATATAATCACAAAATATGTTTTAAGTTTCAATATTTGATTTATAAATATTATATCATTTTATTTTTGTGGTAATATTTTGTGAATGTATTATGTACTTACTATATTATATTTTACAAGTACGTATAAAAAATCTCGGTCCGCAAATAATTCGAATAAATTATTGAATGTCCCATGATAAGGAAATAAATAATTCGTGAACTCTAGTAGATTTGCAGATAGTTTCTTTTAAGTTTCAACAGTTGTGAACTTTATGTCTCCCTCGAGGGTTACAATAATTCACTCAAATGGTATTTTATTTTGCAGAGTTGCCGAACTAGCGAAATGTTAACACGTGGCGTAAATCAGAATCTTGAAAGAAATTCTTACACTCCAAAATGAATAATGTAGGCGTAATCTGTTCAATTGATTGTATTTTCTTATTATTAATTCAAATAATATATTTAATGAGAAAACTTTAGATAATTATTAATTATACTAAATTACTAAATACTATATGTGTATAGCCGAGGCTCGAGGCATGTATAAAAGCATAACATCATATTATATACGATATACCCATACCCATAGGCCATAACCCACCATGTATAAATAGAGCGTCAATTACCTGAACTATAAATGTAACTGGAATGCATTTAATTATCAAACATTTCAAAATTATTTGTCAATTTTTTATTAATTTGTAAATAATTTAGCGCAATCATAACTATAATAATATAAAATACAGTATACTGCAAAGGTCAAAAGATCTTAAAGATTATCAAACTTAGCCAAAATCGCATCCTCCTTATATAATTAGAAAATATAGGTAAAAAAGAATGTAAAACATTAATGAACAACAAATATAACACGTAATAGATGACCGTCAATTATTATAAGTTATAACTGACGAATCACCCTGTTTAATATTCAGGTATTTTGGGCTGTAAAGTTAATTAAATTTTTTTTTTTTTCAATTTTAGATACTTGATCATGCGGGCAAAGGAAATGCCGCAACCATTACATCTAAAAAAGAAGTTCCGGGATCGTATTGTGGCGAAATTGAACAACCGCAAACATTCTTGTCGGAAACGAGTTCAGTTCGAGTTATTTTTCAGACAAATAACTTTACAGATCAAACGTATTACAGTTTCGATTCTAGAGCTGAACAAGAAACTCAAGTTTACTTACGATATGGACAGCATCCGGAACTCTACCCAAACAGAAGAGGATTGCTGAACCCTGGGTTAGAACAATAACAATTATATATTTTATTTTCATTTTATTACAATTTTATTGGGTAGTGTTTGTGCTATGATAAACCAATTCTGATACTAAAAAATAGATTGTCGGAAAATTGGTATGGTTGTTTTGAACGTGGAATATTGGTACGGTCGTTAAAAACCAGGGTTTCTTAAACTATGAAATAGAAATATGAATCAACAAGATGAATCTATGATGCGAATTGAAAGTATACGGCATGAACAACTTAATAATTTAAAATGTCGAAAAAAAGATAAAAAATATGCTTCACTTCAATATAAACTTCATGAAACTATTACCAGTTACGTAAATAATGAAATTACAATGGACATTTTTTTAAATACCATAGGGAAACTATTGTGAATTTTTATTCAATTTTGAACTATTATAAACTATTGTGAATTATTGTGAACTATTATGAATTTATATTTAATTTTGAATTATTATGAATTATTTAATTTCGGACACATTTTTTGACTATCATATTACTATTAATTGTGAACATATATTCATTTAAATTTAATTTTTTGAACATACCTATATTTATTTTAATTTAATTTTTTGAACCACTGAAAATAAAATATTTTATAGTACCAATATTCCGCCTATTTCATTTCTTTTGTTCAAAATACAATAACCGTACCAATTTTCCGTTTACCAAAAAATAACGGTCATGTTCAAATTTATATATTATTCGTTAATCGTTAAGAAAATATATTCAGTACTTAGTATATTATATATTTACATAACTATAATATATGTTAACCAATAAATAACGATATTAATGTATAAGTATTGTAAGTAGGTTTTAATTATCGTCTCTGTTCGTGTTTAAATAGTTTTTAAAATAATTTAATTTATCGGTAATTCGAAGTTTAAAAAATAAAAACCCCCTTTAGTCTAAATTAATTCGAAATACGATAGGATACGAAGATAAATTAAACAATATGTATACGATAACCACTCGATGGGACGAGCTATAAGTTTATAGTAGTTAGTTATTCATGATAAAAGTGTACACTTTGAGAACGATCAATCGTGATGCTGAAATAACTTCTAATCACCGATAGTTAAATGATAAGAAATAATAACTTCAAATTGTCAACTCTATTGACGACTGGTTGCCTAATACACCTAATTGAATGGTTGTTCTTAAAATTTCCAAGGGACCGAGCATTTTCTTACAATTAGGTGCCGGTTAGAAATATCAACTTAAAAACTATTAATAATTAATAACTATATCTGTGTAATAACTTATAGTATAGTAGGAAAGAAAATGAATAAATTTCCAATACTTAAAATTTATGACCCACAGTCGTAATCTATAGTAGGTTCCTATATTAAGTATACTCTCGTAAATATTTCACACTAATTTTTCGTAACTTATTTAAATTGATTAAAGGAGCTATTGTGATAGGACATTTAAAGAATGTCGACTGCAAACGTGTTATGTCCAAAGTCCAGCGTATCCAGGAGTGTATCCGAGGAATCTCAAGTGCAATTATTGGTTGAATACTAAAAATCCGTTTATCCGTCTATACATACAAAACGAAGAATTCAACGTAGACGGTCAGCGATGTGAAAATATAATTACATGCCCAATGAGACCGATTACTTCAGGTAATCATACAATAATACAGATTTTATTATACTTACCTGCCTTACCTACGCAGTTATACAATATTTTCTATAATTCAAATGCATGTTAGAAATTATTGAACTTTCGAAAAACAATTCTGAACAGGTTTGACTCGCACAAAAGTAACTTATCATTTCTTAGCAGTGCCTCATAATATTCACAGTTTTTGACGAATTTTTAGGAAATTATTAGGGCAATAATTAGAAAATTACAATTTTGAATAGTATCTACTTGTTTTTGTTAAATAAACAAATCTATATAGAAATCGCCTACCCAAAAACCGTTTTCTAGAAAAAAAAAGCCTACAATGGTTCTCAAACATACAAAACCTAATTATAGTGAGTAAAAAATAATAATAATTGTAAAACTAATGACTATAGCGATCCACCAAGAGTATAATAAAATATACCATAAAGGCATAAAACCAATTAATAAAAAAAAAAAGCACATTTATTTTTATTGGTACCTACTTTACACATCTAGGGATTTTAAATCATTCTATAATACCATTAGTAAATTGTCACA